GGTCGTTTTTTAAATTAAAAAAAAATTCCTTATTAAAAAAAAAAAAAAAAAAAAAAAATCCCAATAATGAAATAACCCCAGGGTGATTTGTGCTCAAGAAATAAAGACCAGAATGTAAATTATCAATGTGTCAGTGCACACAGCCAGTGCACACCTTCACTTTCAGCTCTTGTGAGTGCATGTCTGCTCCTGCTCATCCCAAAACAGCAAACACAGAGAAAGAAGCAGCAAGAAGAAGGGGTTTTTTTAGGAGTTATTAAGCAGATAAGTCTCTCCAGCCAGAGAGGAGATATTGTAGATGTCTATAAAACCATAAGTGGCGTGGGGAAAATCGATACCAGGCAATTTTGCAGTGTCCCCTCAGCAGGGCCAGGAGGGGACAGGCAATGACAGCAGGGTCATCCAGAGCCATCTAAAGGTCACAGCTCCCCTTTCAACACATAATTAAACCATGGCACAGCTTCCACAGCCTTTAGCCACTGCTAAAGATCAGATAAATTGTGAGGGGGAAAAACAGCCGAGGCTATTAGGGACACGGACAGGAAAAAAGAATAAAAATTCAGAGCTGGGAAAGGGCACTAGGGAGGAATAACAACCTTACTTTTTTTGATGTCTTTCTGGGCTACCTAAAAACAGAGGCCAGACGGAATGAAGGGAATTAAAAGTGGTTTTGTTTATTGAAGGGCCTTCAGGTACATTTTGGGCAGGCAAAGCCCATCCAGGGCCTACACTCAAAAATGAACCACAGGCCACGGTTTTTCACAGTTTTGTAAATTTGGTCCTTTTGCATATTGGGGGTTAATGTTCCAATTACACCTTCAGCTAATGAAGGCATTTACCCCAGGTTTCTCCCCCCAGCTCACTGTTGTTTCCATTTCTGGCCCTGGGGCAGTGAGGTGTCCTTGATTGCCAGGCCTGGAGAGGAATTGTTGTGTCTGCCCAGAACGGGACAGCAGCAGTGACACTGAATGTGGAGTTTGGAGTTAGGCACCGAAGAACTGCAGGATCACAAATGTATGAACAATATAAAAGCTAAAATCCTAAGGCATCATTCGAATCCACAGGATGCTCCTTCCTTTGGATAGAGCTTCACCCTCCCCAAAACCAGTGGCTGCCACGTTACAAGATGACTTTTCTTTTGTACAAGTGGATCAAAAAGCTCCTGCTTTTTGCCAACCCTGCTGTAGAACATTTCAGATTTTACAGTGTCTGTATCTGTTTATGCCACTCTGCACACTCCGAAGGTGTAACTTGCTGGAATATTTACTCAACAGCTCCAGCAGTTTTACACATGCAGACCCTCCACACACTCTGTAGCTCAGGCTCTTGCAGCTGCTGTTAGGAAAAAAAAAAAAAAAAACCCAAAAAAACCAAACATACCAGAAAATGCATGCTGCTGTACTTTTAAATGTGATAAATTTATTCATTATTGCTTTATGGAAAAAGAGTGAAAGACAGGAAAGTAGGTACTGATATTCTCTGCTGAAAAGTCTGAAATAGAAACAATTCTTGTTTGTACTTGTGTCCAGCAAGCAATTTGAATGTCTTGATTTCAAACATTCACTGAGATATTTCAACATAAACGAAGTGTTTTATGGTGTTAGTGGAAAATCCAACACTGTAGGTTGATTAGAATTTTAAAAAGAAAACTGTTGTAAGACAGAATAATTTAGGAGAAATACTTGAAGACTAGCAGCTTGGGGAAAGGGTGTTGTCTGCTGTACCTTAACAACATTTTTCATACCTGGCAGAATATTTTAAAAATGTTATTTCATGGAGCAGTTAATCCTGCTCCTATAAGAGGAAGAATATTTTATAAAGTAT